CAGGTCTCCTAATTGAGGGCATAGTAGGGCTCAAACCTGACAAAAATGACTCACAAACAGGGCTTTGAACTGGTTCAAACTGGTTATCGCTGACAAAGTGAATTTAGAACAGATCAAATTTTTAAAATTTGACTGAATGGAAGAATAATCAGAATGGAAAAATTCTGAGTTGAAGTCCTGGAATAGAAGACTTGAAGCATAGTGAGACTTCAAAGGCCTGATGTGGGTGACTGGGCTGTTGGCAGCAATGTGGAAAGAAACATACACTGAAATCAGCATGGTTGGCTACCATATTTAAGTTAGGCACCATTACTTCCATCTCTATCAGTCAAGAAATTTAATTGTTATGGAAAGGTGCACATTGTCCTTGTTTTCTAAGAGCAAGATTAAGTTTCCAGCAGGGTGTCAACCCATAATTTTCCCTGTTCTGGTTACCTTTGCAGCTCACCCACAATTTACATTTTTGGATCTGTTCCAGTTTTGCTTTATCAGCCACAATTGAACCTGAAACAATCCATTCAAAATCCTACTCCAAAACCCATTGTCTTCTCTACACTGCCTCCCTCAGGTCAGAGGCTACCAATTGACCCTTGACTGCCTGGAAATGGAAAACTGGATTAACTTTATTTTAAGAGCAACAGAAGTAGCTCACCATCCTACAGGCAATCTTAGAAAGGTATTCTTTCCTCCTATTCTGATCTAACAAATTCTCAAAAAAAACAACACCCTTTCTATTGTGTCAGCTTTGGGGCACATATTTTATTGTACTCCATTGTTTATCCATCCACTTCCCACACTAGACATGTTTATTATTCTTTTCAATCCTCAAAGCTTGGCATAGGGCCTGGCACATAGTAGGCACTCAACAAATATTTCATCTTCAGAACTGACTATTCATGTAGCCATAATCCTTTTATATACCATGAGGAAGGCTGATAGTTAGGTCCATGTGTATATTTTGAGGGACACAATATAATTCCCAATAAATTATGTTTTAATTTTATATAGGTCAGAAACTACTTCTATATGCATTTTCAAAATCAAGATGGCATTGAGATGAGTATACCAGGTGGTTTGGTCAGAACTGTTTTTCCTTTGTTTCCATTTTTAATGAGTATGAAATAACCGTTACAAGACAAATACCAAACACTATTCTTCTGCACACTACTGCTTTTGCTTTTCTCGGACCTTATGAATGCAAAGGATTCATTCTTGTTCTCACCATTTTGCTCTGTAAGAGCCCTGGTCCACTGAACAATTTTTGATCCTAAAAGGGTTTTTTTCAACTTTCAGTTTTTGTCACGTATAAAAGCTGTGTGTCGAGACTGAAGATTGCCTACTATCTTCTCTTCTATCTCTATGCCTTTCTCTACTTCTTCCTCTGATAGCATTAGTTTGGTTTCGGAGTCTTTGGTTACAATCACCACAAAGGACCGGCGTGTCTCAAGGATATTGGCTACCACCACCGCTTGATGTTGATAAACTTCCAAAGCATTATGTGCACGATCAATTACAATAGAGGGGTCAGTCTCCAACTTAAAGGAAATGATAAATGCTTTAGGAGCCCAGTCTTTAACCAAAGGTGAAAGCATTTTTGGCACCATCTTCATTGTTATCTGTATTGGAAAAAGAAAAGCTTAATAAGTAAACCAAGTTAACAATCTACCAGGTCAATTTCTTGGGAAACTAAGAAGTAGGACTTACATTGTTGCTTAAAAAGTCAATGCTAATTTCTGTGTGAGAGATCTTACTGTCAAACTTGAAAGCACAGCAAATGCTTAGTTTAAAATCCTTGGTTCTATAAGGTCCAGAAGCTTAATTCCAAGGCTTCATACATCTTCTGGAGCAAACTATTTCTTCTGTATTAGCCCCTCTGCTCTGCCAATCACCATTAATATACCTCTAAAGAACACTAAGGAGCTCTGGTAGTGTATTGGTTACGAATCGAGCTGTGAACTGCAAGGTCAGCAGTTCAAAACTACCAGCTGTTCCGCAGGAGAAAGATGAGGTTTTCTGATCCCGTAAAGATTTACAGCCTCGGAAACCCTGTACAGGGTCTCTATGAGTCAGAACCGACTCCATAGCACACGGCCAAAGAACACTGTATTTTCTCAAACATTTCCCTTATTTTTTAAGCAAATATCAAGTAAATAAATGTAAGTCATCTGTTCATGTAAAGAGATAATGAGACACTGGGCAGAAGCCAAAAAGACAGTTGGAAAGCCTCTCAAACCAAAAATATGCCTTGCATTGATACAATGCCTTTTTGATTCCATTTTTAAATCATCACTTGTTAACAACTGAGCATTAAGGAAACTGAACTGATTTTCTTTTACTTTTCACTTGATCGAAACTCCTACTACTCCATCCCTTCTAAGAGGAATGCTGAATCAAATTCTTTTGTGTGTCCTTTCAAGATAGAACTAAACACTAGGCAGTAACTAAAGTTCCCAGATTTTAATAATTGAAGCTAATCATCAGCATTGCCTACCAAAAAGTTGTTAGCAAGTGTGATACTGATCATATACCCCTTATCTGCTCAACTTTTTCTCCTCAGCATGTATCACCACTTCACACAGTTTGTATTTATTTATTGAGAGTCCCCCTGTAGAATGTAGTAAGCTTCTTTTCACGGCGACATCTCTAAGTCCTACAGAAGCACCTGGCATATAGTAGGTATACAATATAATTTGATGAAATAATGAATGAACTCTTCTTATTCAGTCAGCAAGTCCCCACGGTCGATTCTTCTGTTTAATTCTATTTGTATCATTCAGTAAATGCCCAACACCTCCCTCAGGTTCCATGATGTTAAATCATGTCGACCACCCTCTCAGGAACCCTATTACCCCTTCCTTAAACTGTAGCAATGACTCCCAATTAGTGTACCCTCTCTTCTCCTTCTAATCCACCTTTCATACAGATGCCAGAATATTCTTCGCAAACAACGACTTTCTCATTCTCATACTTACATCTCCCTTAACATAGAAAACCAAACTCTTTAACAAGGAATAGTCTTCCATGATTCTCCAGCCTTGTTGTATTGCTATTTGTTGTTGTTGTTAAGTGCCGTCGAGTCGATCCCGACCCACAGTGACCCTGTATAGGGTTTCCGAGGAGCGGCTGGTGAGCTTGAACCGCTGACCTTGCAGTCTGGCGCATTAACCCACAGTGCCACACCAGGACTCCATTGTTTTTTATACTCCTATTAGGTGCTCTCAAGTCTATTAGATTCAAGCTTCTAGCTACTCCATATGACATAGGAATTTCTAGGCTGTAGGACAAAGGGTGGCGAACATCCAGCACGTAGCCATATATGGCTCGTGAAATCATTTGGTCTGGCCCTGCCAAGACAACCACAGTTTTAGCCATCGCATTTGTTGCTGTTAAGTGCTGTTGAGTCAGTTTCGACTCCTAACGACCCTGTATAGGGTTTCCAAGGAGTGGCTGGTGAGCTTGAACCACCGACATTGCAGTTCAAACTGACCTTGCAGTCCAGGGCATTATGGTGAGTTAATTAAATGTTAGGCAGTCTAATTTTAAGTTGATAATTTTGTATGGCCCACAACAGATGTTATAAATATCCAAATAGTCCCTGGCAGATAAAAGATTCCTTAGCCCTGTTGTAGGATAAAGCACTAGAACACAAGGATGGTTTGAACCGCAAGGTTGGTGGTTCAAACCTACCAGCTGCTCTTTAGGAACCCTACACAGGGTCACTTTTGATTTGGAATTGACTCAGCAGCACTTAACAGCAAAAACCTTTACTGGTAGCACAGTGGGTTTTGAGTTGGGCTGCTAATCGCAAGATCAGCAGTTTGAATCTACCAGCCACTCTGCAGGAGAAAGATGAGGCTTTCTGCTCCTGTAAAGATTGACAGCCTCGGAAACCATATCCAGAGTGGCTATGAATTAGAACAGACTCGAAGGTACACAACTACCACCACCAATCTTTACTGGGAATCTTGGTGTGGTGCTGTAAGGTAAGTATCGGACGGCTAACTGCAAGATTGGCTGTTCAAACCCACAAGTCGCTCTCAGAAACCCTATACTGAGTCACTATGTGTTGGAACCAATTCAAAGGCACACAACAACAATCTTTATTGGAACAGTCTAGTTTGGGTTCAAACGCCCCCAAGACGATGGCAGCTAAGCGTTTAATCCTTGAGCCTCCAAGGCACCTTCTGCAGCCTGATCACATCTGTATGCAAACTATTCTCGGCAAGCCATTTCTGATACTCTACCAGTAATGACTTTTCCCATTTCCTCTGGTAGTCCTTCCGCTAATCTTTTAAGATCCAGGTCAAAAGTCACTCCTGTAGGGCACCTTCTTTGACGCCCGCCAGACATGATGATTCACTCAGCCCGTGCCCTGACTGCACTTGGTACATACCTCTACTAGAGCATTTATCACTCTGAATTGCAATTGTCCGTGTTCGGCTCCCTCACTAGACTGCAAGGCACTTAGGAAAGGTGTCTCATTCATCGCTGTATCCCCAGTGCCTTGCACATAGCAAATGCAGAAAGGTCATTTCCACATCAAGAGGAAATTCACCCAAGATTGGTTATAGGGAACCAGATCTCTGGAAGAGAAGGGCCAGTCACCTGCAGTGGGCCCCTAGATGACTGGATCTTGTGTTCAGGCATTTCAGAGACAGGAACATAGAAATCTGACACGGCCGCAGCCAGGTAGAACATCGCTGACGAGCCTGCAAAGAGAAGCACATGGTATAACAAATCCGGGAGAGGGACAGGAAATCAGCTCCTCCTCAAATCGACTTCCCGGACGCACTGTGCGATCGCTGTTAATCCAGCGAATAGTGAGTAAATGGCTGGGGAGAAAGGCGCGGACCTCTAGGCAACCCGCGGACTCCCAGGGCACGCACCTAGTGGATTGAGAGCCTGGGCCGCAGCCTGCAGCAGATGCAAATATTCTGTCAAAGTGGTGAACTCTACAGCGAGGAACGTGCCCGCAACCGCAGCGTCTTGGTAGCTCCTCAAGGCTGCAGCGAAGCCCGGGAGTTCCTTCTCCTCGGCCTCCAAGCATAGAAGGCCAGGACGGGCTGGGCTAGAAGGCCGTAGAGCAGACAGCCAGGTCTGCGGCGGGAAGCGGTGGGCAAAAGGGAAAGCTGAGCGTGCGCGATACAAGAAGATGACCCCGTATCCCGCGGCCAGGAAGGCCTCGGCCGAGGTTGCTCCGCGCCGCCCGCTGCTGAAATTATCGAGGAAGCGCACTGCTCGCGCTTCCAGTGGGACCTTGGTGCCTCCAGACGTAACCAACACCACCCGCCGACCCTGCTCGCCCAGCGTGGCCGCAAAGCGAACCATAACCTCGGCCCAGCGTGTAACGCTAGCCGGTTGAGGAAACTCCGAGGATAGATCCGCTTCCGCCATTAAACCTGAGTATAGTCCCTAAACCTACGCACGCCCCAGGCCTACCGAACCACGCCCCCTGCTCACAGATGCGCAGCCGCAATGTTGAGTAGGCGGTTCGCTACTTTACTAGACTATAGCAGCTGATCTCGCCAAGTCTGAAAATGCAAGCTAATTACTCCACAGAGCACAGCGAATATGACAAAGTGCTGAGGGAAGTTCTTGACTGAACGGGCATCTGGAAGTGTTCATTTCCTACCTGGGTCAAAAAACAAACAATAAAGCTAATCGTATTTGATCTTTACCGGCCACCGTAAGGCCAGGACTTAGCCCCTGCTAGTTGATCTGTTCCGTCGTTTAATTTGGGGGAGTTGCAGGTTGTGTATGTGTTCGCGCGCGCGCTTGTGTGTTCATCTCACAAATAGACTGCAATTGTCAGTCGAGACACGCTACCCCTCTTGTAGAAATATTAAGAACGAAACTGCGCCATGGTCGTCACGTGACACCAGGGTCCCGCGTGTCTTAGCTCAGCAATCGCCCTGGAGACGGACGCCGCTGGCTGCAACATGAACGTGATCTATCCACTAGCGGTGCCTAAGGGGCGCCGGCTCTGCTGTGAGGTGTGCGAAGCCCCGGCCGAGCGGGTGTGCACGGCCTGTACAGTCACTTACTACTGGTAGGCACTGAAACGACACACCCCGGAGCCTCAACTCCTAACCTATCCTCCCCGTCCTGAATCTGGGTGTGGGTGCTCTTTGGAAGCCAAGTCCTCAGATTCTGCTAAAGACCCCTCCGTTGACTCCATTAAGGTCCCTAAGACTCCTATGGCCTCATGGGCCTTCTACCCCACTTACTCGTCCCTCCCAAATGTTTATTGAGCTCTTACTGCCCTATTCCAGGTGCTAAAGTTACTGGGTAAGAACTCAGTAGCTGGGTCCCTCAAAGAGCCAACATTCTAATGGGGAGGCATATAAGCAAACCAACAGACAAAACTGAAAAGATTTCAGAGAGTGGTAAATGTCATAAAGGAAATGTGATGGGAGACCGATAGATGATTGATGCTGTAAAGATAAAGTAGGAGCACACCATGTAAATGGCTGGAGGAAGTGACTGGAAGATACTGAGGAAGGAAAAACTTTACTGTTTGAGGAATAGAAATAAGGTCAGTAGGCATGGTGTACAGCCAAGATGATGAGAATGTGGGGAGGGTATTAACAATATGAGGTAGGTTTTCATTTATTTAACAAAACATCCCCTGACTTCTGCTTCATATTAGACCCTAGTTGGGGCCTGAGATAACACAGCTAGGTTGCTGCCTTCCAGAAACCTACTCCAGGCTTGTTTCTAAAAGTTACAAAACCATTATAATATGCACTATAAGACAAGTATATGAGATATAATATATCTATATGACAAACCCCTACTTGTCTGTCAGCGTGTCATACTGTTGGCTTGGTTCTGAGAGCTGTACCACTGGTTTCAATTACCAACAGGAACACCCATGGTTAGACAGGTTTCAGGGAAGCTTCAAGACTAAGGACAGACTTCTTGTTAGGTGCTGATGCGTCAGTTCCAACTCATAGTGACCCTTGGCACAACAGAACAAAACACTGCTGGGCTCACCTCTACACCATCACAATTGTTACATTTCACGTTTACAGCTCAGTGCTGCTTCCATGGTGTCTCTCCATCTCTATGGTGGTCTTCTTCATTTTTGCTGACCCTCCACTTTACCAAGTATAATGTTCTTCTCCGTGGACTGGTCCTTCCTAATAATATGTCTCAAGTATGGGAGACAAAGTCTCGCCATCCTGGCTTCTAAGGAGTATTCTGGCTATACTTCAAAGACAGATTTATTTGTTCCTCTGGCAGTCTATGGTAATTTTAATAATCTGCAATAGGAAGTACACTAATTCTTCTATGGTATTCCTTATTCATTGTCCAACTTTCTAATGCATATGAGGCTATTGAAAAATACCACGGTTTCAATCAGAACACAGTAGGACTAAAGAATAGGCAGTCTACTTCTGAGGTGTTATTGTTGTTGTTAAGTGCCGTAGAGTCAATTATGACTCATAACGACCCTGTATAGGGTTTCTGAGGAGCAGCTGGTGAACTTGAACTGCCGACCTTGCAGTTCAAATGGCTTTGCAGTCTGGCACGTTAACCCACAGCACCACACATTGTCTAATATGGTGCCAGAAGATGAGCCCCTCCGGTTGGAAGGCACACAAAATATGACTAAGGAAGAGCTGACTCTTCAAAGTAGAATCAGTCTTAATGATGTGGATGGAGCAAAGCTTTAGGGACTCCATTTGCTGATGGAACATGATTAGGGATCAAAGGAAACAGTTGCAAACATCCATTGGAAATTGAAACAGTAAATGTACACAGTTGAGCCCAAAATTACCCACACTCTGGTTGTAGAATTTAATCAACTTTAGATAAGACAAATAACATAGTTTTTCGACATAATCTTGCTTGTCAGCACGCTTTATCCATTTATCAACAAGCTTTCCCATTCCCTTATTAAAAAATGTTTTCGGTTGAGGTGCAAGCCACAAATGCACTGTTGTCTTTATTTCTTCATCACAGGTGATGGAGCAGGAGCTTTAGGACTATAAAGAGGATGATTTAACACGTTAAAACAAAGTTTTTTCAGAGTGTCAAAAATGTGGTCAGAGTTATGTGGACGTGCATTGTCATGTATGCTCACAGTGCCCTTGGATAGCAGTCCTCTGAGTTTAATCCAAACTGTAGGCTTCAGCTCTTCAGTGAGCATCTCACTGTAAGGAGCACTGTTGATTGTTGAGCCCTTTTCCTGATAGTGTTCCAATACTGGCCCTTCAGAATCCCAGAAAGCTGTAAGTATCAATTTTCCAGCTAGTGGTTGACTTATGAACTTTTTCTTGGTTTGCGATTGAGGATGTTTCCATTCTATACTCTGTCATTTACTCTCAGGGTCATAGTGATCAATCCATGTTTTGTCACCAGTAACTTTTTTTTTTTTTAAGTTTTTATTGTGAGGTTTATTTACATGGGAAAACATCAGCTTTACACTCATCCTATTATATTTCATTTCATTGCAATGATTATAATCCCCTTCATGCATCATCAAATAACCAAAGGGTATACCACACAGGCCTGCCCTGTGGCTGCCAGCACACAGCCCTTCTCCCTCCCTGAGCCCAGTCTCCCCAGCTGCTCCATCTGTCCACATCATCATCTCTGTCTCCATCCCTGGCGTCACTGCTTCTCTGGGTAAGGTCCCACTCTCTGCTCTTCTTGCTTGATGATCCCTTGGACCTCCGCTCCTGGGCTGCAAAATCAATCACTCTCCTCCTTTTGTCAAAAAGCATCTACCTCTATATTTCCTACCCTCACAGTCAGTCCTGATGACAATTATTCACTATTGTACCACAAGAGCCTTATCCCCATTTCCTTTCACCCAGTTCTGACAGTTTGGAAATCATTCAGTTGTGATTCTACCTTCCTCTGCCGCATCTGGAACTAGGCTCCCTCTTGAAAGGTTGTAAGCCAGTCACTTCTTACCTTTATAGCCCCCCTGCCCCCATTTTGGGTAGCCAATGTCTAAGTTGCCCATCCCTGTCAACCTTGTGTACTGAGGGCGTGGGAGTGATCCTTGCAACAACTTTTTTTAAAGACACTTTTACCTTTATTCGCATATTGGTCTAAATTTTGTTTGCAGATGTCCAAACACCTCTATTTATGCTCTTCTGTAAGTTGTTTTGGTACCCATCTCCCACAAACTTTTCAAAACCCAAGCCTGTCGTGGATTATTTCATAGGCAGAGCCGTGGCTGATTTGCAAATGATTTGTCACATAATCTCCTGTCACTTGTCTGTTCATCAGAGTCATTTCACATACACAATGTTGTCATCAGCTGTGGATGTTGACAGGTGTTTTACTATAACCAGAATGTAGATCATTTATGGCTCACCCTTGTACAATGTATAAATCTAGGAAAATTGGAAGTCATCAAAAAAGAAATGGAACACATAAAGATCAATATCCTAGGCATTAGTGAGCTGAAATGGACTTGCACTGGCCATTTGAATCAGACAGTCATATGGTTTGCTATGCTGGCAATGACAAATTGAAGAGTAATGGTGCCACATGCATCGTCAAAAAGAATAATTCAAGATCTTGAACTACAATGCTGTCTGTGATAGAATAATATCTGTATGTCTATAAGAAAGACCAGTTCATAGCACCACTATTCAGATTTATGCACCGACCACCAAAGCCAGTATTGGTGAAACTGAAGAATTTTACCAATATTCTTTATCTGAAATTAAGCAAGCATGCAATTAAGATACATTGATAATTACTAGTGATTGGAATATGAAAGTTTGAAACAAAGAGGAAAGATCAGCAATTGGAAAATATGGCCTTGGTGATAGAAATGATGCTGAAGATGGCATGATAGAATTCTGCAAGACCAGCAAATTATTCATGGCATTTTTCAACAACATAAAAGGTGAGACTATACATGTGGACCTTGCTAGATGGAATGCACAGTAATACTGACTACATCTGTGGGAAGAGATGATGAAGACGCTCAATAACATCAGAAGCCCACTGTGAAACAGACCACTTGCTCATATGCAAGTTCAGGCTGAAGCTGAAGAAAACAAAAAGTCCATGAAAGCCAAAATATGACATTGAGCATATCCCACCTGAATTTAAAACCATCTCAAGAACAGATTTGGCACACTGAAAACTAATACCCGAAGACCAGAGGACTTGGGGATGACATCAAGAATATCATACATGAAGAAAGCAAAAGATCATTAAAGACAGGAAAGAAAGAAAAGACCAAAATGGGTGTCAGAAGTGACTCTGAAACTTGCTCTTGAATGCATAGTGCTAAAACTAATGGAAGAAATGATTAAGTCAATGAGATGAACAGAAAATATTAAAGGACAGCTTGAGAAGACAAAGTAAAATAGTACAATGAGATGTGCAAAGACCTGAATTCAGAAAACCAAAAAGAAGGAACATGCACAGCATTTTTCAAACTGAAAGAACTGAAGAAAAAAATACAAGCCTCAGGTTGCAATATTGAAGGACTTTATGGGCAAAATATTACATGAT